ATCTCAAGTCTAGAGTAGCCTGTGAGGCTGGACCATCTCAGCTAGCTTCTTTGAAATCGTCTTGACCAGTTTGTAGTATTCTACCTTTTTATCCTATTTCTATATCCCCTTTTCTTTTCAGAGTGGATTCAATAATCTACCCTTATATCCATCATATCTGTAACAGTTTTATTTGGTTCGTAGTCTTGAAAGTTTGCAAGGTCAAGATCATGGCACCAACATTTCTCAGGCTTGTGAGGAAGGTACAGGGCTGACTCACCTTGCAGTGGAAGGTGGAAGAACAGTAGGCTGTCAAGGAAGCGGCTGCACACTGGGGAAAGCCTTACTGTACTACATCCATAACTTTTTTCCCCGGAGAAATGACTAATCTTGATTAGTAGCCTAGTCACCTACAAAGACCCTCATCTCCTATCACCACAAATGGAACTAAATGTTCTGATGTTTTCAGAAAGGACAAACTATATCACATCTGAATCACACGCCCTTCCGCCACATGGAGGAAAGCTTGTTGAAAATATCCCCCACACATTCCATTTCATGAAGCGCTGCTTCTCCATTCCACATAAGTAGTTTCCTATTTGTCCTCCATATCAAAGTCCCTTTAGTCCCAAAAGGCGTGCGTGAGATTGAAGCAAAAGACTAACCTGCAGACACTGGACATTGTTCTCTTTTGTGACGTGTGGAATATTACTATACGCTCCCATTCAAATCTACTGGCCTGTGTGTGCCTGAGTGCATTGGAGGACCAACACTTGTGCTGATGCGCATGCTCGAGAAGGATGAGACTAGCAAGGGAGCTCACGGGCAACCATGAAACCCTGGTGTGTTAAGCCACTAAAGCAGGGGACCTGTTAGCAAGGGACATTTTAGATGTGAGTCTTTGTTTTTCTCATTTCTGTTAGAGCAACTGTTTCTTGGAAGTGCACTCTTGTGAGCGTTCTTGATGGAAGATATTTGGGTTTGTCTTGAAAACAGAACCAGAGAGGAGAAACAAATTGAATCCTTCATGCCCCATGTAATGTCTCCATGGATGGAACAGTAATTCAGTAAGAGCAATGAGCATGCCACAGTTGGTATAGTGGGAGCATGGTTTATGGATAAGCGTTTTTTTTTTAAACCAAAATGAACAGGTAATAATGAAATGTTCCATGTGTAGTAAACCATATCCGTAACGAAGGATAGTGGTGTTATGAAATTTTTCTGAGCCAGGAAGATGGATCAGTGGGTAAAGGGCTTGTATCTTTAAGCGTGAGGACCAGAGTTCAGATTTCCCAGGATTCATGTGGCAGTCAGGCTTGGAGGCTTGTGTGTGCAACCTTAGTTCTGAGGGCCAGAGAGAGGTATATTATGGGGCCTTGCTGGTCAGCCAGCCTAGTCAGAAGGGTGAGATCCAGGCTCAGTGAAAGACTCAGTATCAATCAATAGCTAAATAATGTGGAGTGTGATAGAGGAGGATGCCAGGTATCACTTCTAGCCTCAACCTATTCCTACATGTGTGCATGGACACACACACACACACACACACACACACACACACACAGGACATAGACACACACTTTCCTAAAATTATTCAAGTAAGAGAAACACTTTTGTTAAAAGCAAAATAATAAGAAAATATACTTGTCAAACAAATCTGAAAAAAAAGAATAAAGAAATTGTAAAAAGCAATCTCTTGGTAATTGCGCTTCAGAAAAGCTAGGTAAAAGAGTCTCACACTATCTTTTAACTAAAGGTGAATCATACTTTGTACTTTTTATTTAATGCATTGGGTGAGTTGATTCAGGCCATCCCATTTGCATTAGTTTTTGGATTAAAGGAAGAAAGAAACTTCATCCATTCCCAGCTACCATGTGCGTGCGGTGTGGCGTGGGCACCATGGTTGTCAGGTACAACACTGCGTGAAAACTCGGTCTACATAGCAGTCACCCACGTGAGAGCAGAGCAGCCTCAGTGTCTGCATGGCTTCACCTTGCCCACCAGAAGCTAATTTCCACTTGCAACCAAGCAACTGCACAGCTCTCTTCTTCCCCGGACAAAATGCAACATCTTTCATCAAATTTATTGGCTTGGCAAAGTTCCAAGTTTTGTTACGCAAAAGTTGAGAAAGAGCAAAGTCGAAGAGTACTAGAAACAATACACTCTGCTACTGTGTGGTTTCTGTATTTGGGACTCGGGGTGTTTTATTTATAGCTATCTATTAATATGCAGCCAAAGATACAGAAAGAAAAACATAAAAACAGCTTTATCAAGCAGTTTCCCGCATTCAAGGGTAACATCTCCAGCAGGAACAATAAGACCAACAAGGAGCTGTTGTATGGGAGGGAAAAATCATCTTCCTTGTCTCTTTTCTCCCTCCTCGGGGGTGGTGGGCTGTAAGGAGCATTCCCCTAGGAGGTTTTTGAAAAGTGGGATGAACTCAGGGAAGGTACCCCCGTAGTTATAAAACTTCCACTCGTGGCTATTTCTTTCTTTAGTTCTTCAGCCTTTCTAATAGTAATATCTTAAGTGGAGGCGGGTGGGACCAGCTAGCTTGTCAAACTGGTTTGATGAGACTGTCCTCCCCTCCCCTTGATACTTGGCAAAATTTTATCTGGGACACTGCCTAGAGGAGCCTAGAGCGTCCCTCGCTGGCCTTGAATGAGGAGTCCAACTTCCTTCCCTGGGAAGAAAAGGAGGCGGGCTGCTGTAAGGGACAGAGATGGGGAGTTGGTAGAGGGGCAGAGTCTGTTCTGTGTCCCAAGCACACACGAAAGAGACATAGGTGCACGTGCGTGTACACACAATGCATAAACACACAGAGGCCTGGGGACTTTAGGACCAAACATAGAAGGTAGGATCATATCTGGAAAGACGAGACCCTCCCAGGACTGATACATTGTTTTTGTTTACAGTTTGCTCTCACAGAACTTTAGAACAGCAGGGGCCAGAGTGGGTGGCTTTCAACTTTTACATTTCTCCTTTGCAAATATGTACAGGGTGGTATTGGTCAGACGACGGGGAGGGTGGAGAGTAGGAAGACACCTGGACAGTTCCCACTTGCTTCCCTTGATGCTGGGGCCACTCGTACCTGCAGGGCTTCCAGCGCTGAAGGATGTTCTGGGCTAGACAGTGGAGGATATCTTTGCGAACTGGGTTGGGCATTTCCGGGGTGGAGCTGAGGACAGGTTGGTCCTGACAATTGCCAGTGTTTGGCTAAATTGGCCAGGAGGTTAGGAAAGGTGTGTAGGGGGGGCAGTGAGGAGGGGTTAAGGGAGTACACATTTCCTGCCGCCTTTCTCCTGCGGGCGAGAAGCTTGGACTGTTGGGGCCCCGTTCTAGGGATAGCCGTCACCTCCTGGATACCCTGGGGGTCAGGCTGAGGTAAGCAAAGCAGAGGTTGAGGCCTGGCAGTGGCCCTGGGCCTCAGGTCTAGGTGTGGGAAGGTTCCTAGTTCCTGCTTCTCCAGCTCTTAGTACAGTGCCTCATAAGGGACAGAGTTCACTAGAGACCTGATTCTGCTGGTGTATCTCCCTTGCTCTGGTTTCCAGTGAGGTCAAAGGGACTAAGCGTGTCATTGTCTCTAGCTCGTGTATTGCTATCAAATCTGTCTTCTGATTGTAGAGGTGGGTGGAGAAATGGTTGCAGTCCATCTCCTTCTGTGGGTCAGGTATTAGAAATGAGTCTGTACTGGCATCTTCTCCCAGGGAGAACCGTAGTCAAGCAAGATGAGATGGAGGAGGGGGCTTCTCTGGTGGCATCCCTAGGTCTTGGCACAATCCTGTTTCATCTTTATAGAAAAGCGCTCTGAGTGGTTTCAGGCTTCTGGACATTCTGGGGTCCTCTTTTCCCTCACCTGGAAAGCAAAGCCTACACGTTTTATGTGTGTTTTGCTTTATTCATTAAGACATGTTGTCACCTGTACCTTAGAAACTCGTGGGCACCTGGGGGAAGGGAGTATTTCATGGTAAAATAGACAGGAAACTGTTTGGAAAATGTAAACACGCTATTAAACGGTGAGGTATGATCTGATCCGCTTAGTTAGCACAGGCAGGTCAGGTCCTCCCTCCCCGCATCGCCCTCGTAGCTTCCAAAACATGCACAGAGCACCCCTTTGCCCAAATAAAGCAGCGAACAGGGGACAGGGCGACTCTGGAAAGCCAGGGAAGGAGATAATGGAAGGCCTTGAAGTCACCCTCGCTGCCCCTCGTTTTGTTCGGCCACAGCTTGTTTCCAATTATTTAGAAGCCAACGCTTTAATTGTTTTATTCTAAAACATAAGCCCCGGCAGCTCTTCATTGCCCCCTGGTGTTCGTTTCCTGCCATTTCTCAAGATTCGTCCCGATAGCCCGACAATTGCCAGGGAGAGAGTGTGGGCGCAAGAAATATTTAGTGTGGGCTTCGTGGGGTACTTCTAATCAGTGATCCTAGGAAAACAAGGATGTGCCTAACAAAATCAAGTTATTGTTGTTTTTCTTATCATTATTGTTTAATTTTTCTTTCTTGCTCTTTACGGAATCTTTCTCACATGAGAAGAATTTTATTTGAGAGATAGAGATGGAGAGAGAGAAAGAGAGAGAGGGAGAGAGGGAGAGAGGGAGAGAGAAAGAGAGAGAGAGAGAGAGAGAGAGAGAGAGAGAGAGAGAGAGAGAGAATTAGTTGAGGAAGGGGTCTTAGAAAAGTAGACTAATCTTCCAAAATAGTCTGATCCTCCAGTACCAGCGAGTGAACAGCAAAGAGGGCGAGTATCCCCTTGTTTTTCCCGACTAAAACTCAGAAAGACATAAAAGGAAAATGAAGCGAACAATGACCACCACTCCCCCACCCCCACCCCCCTCGCTCACAATACAATCTATTTCATTGTACTTCATACTTTTCATTCCAATGGGGTGACTTTTCTCCTGGAGAACCTCTTGATTCTTGAACTCTGAGGCTGGCAGCCTGCAAAGGGGAAGCGGGCTGCCGCTCAGCGCAGGTTTTGCAGAGGTCTCTGTCTAGTGGGTGTTTTCTTTTGCTTAGCCCTGCCCCTGGATTGTCAGACGGCGGGCGTCTGCCTCTGAAGTTAGCCGTGATTTCCTCTAGAGCCCGGCCTTATCTCCGGCTGCACGTTGCCTGTGGGTGACTAATGACACAATAACATTGTCTAGGGCTGGAATAAAGTCGGAGCTGTTTACCCCCACTCTATAGGGGTTCAATATAAAAAGCCGTCCCAGAGCCGTCCGAGTCAGACGCGTTCCTGCACCGGCGCTGTGAGCCTGACTCGCTCTGGCGCTGCAGTCCTCGCGCACCGCCTCCCCGGCTGCCCGCGACGCTTTCGCTCGGGTGAAAGGGCCACTTGCTGAGGACCGGGCTGAGATCTCAATTACCAGAGGCGATCCGAGCGATCAGACGCCGTCCACTTCGTTTTGCATTGAGTTCCATTTGCAACCGAGTTTTTTTTTTTTTCCTTCCTCTTCTTCTTTTGATCCCTTTGCAGAATGGATTATTTTCCCGTGATCTTCTCGCTGCTGTTTGTGGCTTTCCAAGGAGCTCCAGAAACAGGTAGGCGCCACTTGCAAATCTTTCTGCTCCAGCGTAGCGCTGTTCTCGCTTCTGTTTTCCACCCTTCTTCTTATTTTTCATTTTTTTTTATTACTGCAGCTCGAACAGCAAGTGTCTTGCAATTACTTCTGTGTCCCAGGGAAGGAAATAAAATACAACCGACTCCAGGCAACTATCCCATAGCTTCAGAATAATGTAGCAATATTGCTGAGGAGCTACAACTGAGGCAAAGATATGTTTGAAATACGTGTGTTTAGGGTTACACGGTGCATTTAGGAGCTTATTCAAACGCTGTCTTGATAGTGTGTTAATGTGTAAAATATTTAAACACTCCAGCTTAAAACCAAGGAATTTTATTCAGGTCATGAAAACACAATGTGAGCAGTGAAATCACCTGCCGATCAACCCTGTGCTGAGCAACCCCGCGGGCGGTTTCAGGGCGAAGCACATGTTTTCTTTAAACTTTGTCACTATTGACTTAAGGTTTCATTTGGCAGATTTTTGGCATCCTCGAACAGTGTGAGCTCTATTTTCAGTTGTATTCACCTGTCTTGGGAGGGGAGCTGGGATCATTCCTGCCTGCTTAAGGAATTAGACAGTATGGGCGCATCTGCTCGGCTCCCCTCCCACCTTATTTTTTTTAAGGTCAGTGCATTTTTTTTCCTGTTTTTTCACGATGCTATCCAAAGAGAAAAGATGTCAAAGGGATAAAAACCCTGGAATGTGCCTGATCGTTTGAAATGAACAAAATCAGGCAGATAAGCTGCAGGGCTGAATTTTCAACGGAAAGAGGAGATGCTGTATTGGGCCGGAGGGCGTCATGCCCTGGTGCAAGTCTGCTGCCCAAAGATTCTGAATTCTGAACCTGTAGAACAATTCCCTAGGTTCCTGCGCTGTGTCTTTGCTTCCTTCAAGTGGCAACTTGTCTCCCACCCGCAGTGACTACTGCAAAGTTAATGTCTCTTCTGTGGCTAGTCTTTTTCGGAATGTTCTTGCTTTCTACTCAATATCAAAGGCGTCCATAGTCACCTAGACCACTCTGTGCCCCTACCCAAGTTGGGAAATAGTGGAGACCACTAAAGGAAAGGTTATCCTGAGGGCAGAGGTGGCTCCAGCTTGAAATAGGCAGTCTATCTTATTTATTTGTGGCCACATGCCAGTTAAAACTACGGGAGCTGGGAGTTATGCCATCCTTAGTCTCAGGTGTGGGCTCCCTAGAATTCCACCAGACAGTATCCCCTTCAAAGCTGCTTCAAAATGTTGGAGAGTCCTTTCCTAGTTGTTTTTCTCCTCTCTCTCTCTCTCTCTCTCTCTCTCTCTCTCTCTCTCTCTCTGTGTGTGTGTGTGTGTGTGTGTGTGTGTGTGTGTGTGTGTGTGTAATCTCCCTGCAGGTGGATAAGCCTGCCAGGGTAAGGGTGAAGTCCTGTTAAGCGTGGAGAACAAAGGAAGCCCTTTCTTTCTGTTTGTGTTTCTGGCTAAAGGCGGCTGTATGCCTTGTCTGCTTCTATTTGTGCTGCTAGATCTGGCCTGAATACGATGATGCAGGTGCTCAGGACGGCTGAGGAGAGACCCATACCAAACCCTCTGTTTCTCTTCGCAGCTGTCTTGGGAGCAGAGCTCAGCACCCGAGCTGAGAATGGAGGGGAGAGCCCCCCTCCCAGCACACCCTGGAGACACCGAAGGTCCAAGCGTTGCTCCTGTTCCTCCTTGATGGACAAGGAGTGTGTCTACTTCTGCCACTTGGACATCATCTGGGTCAACACTCCCGAGTGAGTCTCTAGAGGGCATTGTAACTCTAGCTGTCCTTTGACTGCTCTGGCTTTGGGGGTTGAAGTTCCTCTTCTGGGGAGCTCCAGGCTTTAGCATTCCTGATGACAAGAAAGTGCCTCCCGAGAGAAATGATGCTGAGACAGGTCAGCTTAGTGCTAGTCACCTAGGGGAGGGTCTTCTGGGGTGTTGGGAACCAGGCTGCTTATTGTGGGACAGAAGGAAGGGGCTGAGGACAAGCAGGAATGTATTGTGCAATTCAAGGCAAGGAAGGGGGTCTTAGCAGGAGACTCTCACTTGGGTTTTGGGGACCAAATAGTCCAAGTCCTGTAGGCTAGTTCACACCATACATTGTTCTCCAAGGGGGCACATTGCCATCTATTCCAGAGGAGAGACCTAGTGGAAAAGTAACGAGCTGTAATGCTTTTGTTTTACTTATGGAAAAACTAAGAAACAAAATGTTGAGGTCCCTTGAGAAGAAATTAGTTGGTAGCAGGGTTAGAGTGGAGCCCTGAAAGTCTGGCTTCTCGCCTTGTCTTTAGAAAACTGCATTTCAAGCAGAGATCAGAATACTGGTCACAGGGTTCTCGTCTACCTCCTGAGCGAACAAAGGCTGTTTCACCCTCAGCCTCCAACACTAGTCCTCTCATTAGAAGCAATCATAAGAAAGAACAAACACATTTATTCTGTCTACAATGGCTGGCCAAATTCCAAACCAAACCAGACCCAAGCCACTTTGGACCTAATCCTTAGTACAGGGTCTACCAAGGAGTGTGTTCCTCACTGTGAGAACTGAAATGGACCCATTGCGAGTGACTGGATAGCATTTTGATGCTAGGTCCTTCATACTCATGAGCACTTACCAGACTTGAGGAGCAGTGTTCCAGCATGCCTTGCTCCATCAGGCAACATGTCTATCATTATTACACATGACTGAAGTAGAAAAATCTTGTGTTACGGTTTTACTTCAGCCGCCCCCCTCCCATTTTCTTCCCTCTACACATACCACACACTAGAAAAGGAAAAAAAAAAACACAAAGCAGAAATCCAAAGAGAGGCGTTGTCATTTGGGACAAAGCTGTGTCTAGAAGAAATGGAATATTGTTAAGTATTGGGATAGAATTTTATGGAATCAGAAAAAAATGCTGGTGTGCTCCCATTTGGGGACATACACTGAGGGTCACTGATGGGCAAACATGTCAAATAGCTTCTACGCTTCCTATCATGAGCTGGCCGAATGCTCTCTGAGTTGTCTGCTCAAAGGATGTGTCACTGGGAAGATTATTAACTAAGCTACTCTCTTTTCCTTCTCTTATTCTGTAATAGGCGTGTTGTTCCATATGGCCTGGGAAGCTCTTCCCGGTCCAAGCGTTCCTTGAAGGACTTACTTTCCACAAAGGCCACAGACAACGGGAACAGATGTCAATGCGCTGACCAGAAGGACAAGAAGTGCTGGAATTTCTGTCAAGCAGGAAAAGACCTCAGGTGAGTGGAAGCCCATTTAGCTGTCGGTCATGTGCAGCCCACTGACTTCCTTCCTCTGTGACTGTCCTCACTTTAGAGACAGTAGCAGGGACCTGGAGAGTCAAGGTGAGCTTCCACAGACTTGTCGCTCAAATGGTGTTCCCTGTGTGTCTTAACAGAGCCCAAAATACCATGCAGAAAGGCTTAGAAGACTTCAAGAAAAGAAGAGCCTGTTCGAAGCTAGGAAAGAAGTGTATCTATCAGCAGCTGGTGGAAGGAAGGAAAATAAGAAGGTAAGAGGCTCCCAGTGACTGCTAACCCTGGACAGCAGTGTTAAGGCCTCCCTCCCTGGTCCTTCCTAGTGGGAGAAAGGCTCCCATACAGCACAGAACCGTCACGGTCTGTGGACTTCAAAGAGTAAAGGGAAGGGCTCCTCAAATACTCGGGCCTTCAGTGCAGAAACCTACCCACTGTGTCTTAGCACAACCTGGTCTATAGGTGAACCTTCCACACTGAGAGGCAGCTTTAGCATTTAAGCATATCCAGACTTTTTCCCCCTCTCTGTTTCTTTTATCTTCTGCTTGCCTCAAGAAACTAAAAGGCACTCAAGGAAGACTTTTAAAATATGTGTATATGTTATTTTAAAAGTAGCAGTTAATTATTCAAATGGCCAAAGGGAAATAAAGCCATTAGGTAAGGTTGGTGAGACTCAGACCTGTTCAGACCTGTTACATGTTCCGATGTCTAGAAGACTCTCCAAGAAATCCAGGGGCAAGATGTTTTGTGACCAAAGTGTTCTGAGCCCAGTGTGACAGTGGGGAGGGACGCTGAGTTGGTTACTGCTTCTGTATAGGATAGCCACAGTTAGCTCCCTTCACACCTGCCTCCCCAGGTTCGTTCTCCGCTAGGTCACGGTTGCTGAAGACTGTACCAGTTTGTTACCTTGTCTGACATTAATTACTAAATTAATGCTACAGTTCTTCATCGATTCCTACTCATAAGCACACACACGCACACACACACGCACGCACGTGCACGTGCACACACAAACAGACATACAATTAAATTAGACATTTTTTTTTTTAAAAAAAACTGTATTTGCTCAGGTCTGCCCGTAGTTTCCCTAATTTTCTCTCCATCCATGGATTAGCTTCCATTTCTTTTGTAATTTAGAAGGTGCCCATGTGCCATTTCTCCATAGAAGCAGAGGGTAGGTCGGAGTTATTTAAACATAGTATGTAGTGCCTGATTCCTCTTAGACACGCTCATAGGATGCCTCTCTGCAGTAGTAAGTAGAGGTCGTAGACACCGCTGCAGGGTTCATCAGAGAGTGACCTACTGTCACACCTGGTAGAAAAGGCTAGGAACTCGACTTAATGTGTTTGTGTCAAAATCTAAACTTAGAAGTTTCTTTATCCAAAGTCTGATTGCTTTTCTTTCTCTCTGTGTGTGCTTAAATAACATTTATTTTCTCTTGTCTGCTTTTAATAGGTTGGAGGCCATCAGCAATAGCATCAGGACATCTTTTCGTGTTGCAAAGTTGAAAGCCGAGCTCTATAGAGACCAGAAGTTGACCCACAACAGAACACACTGACTACGGAGCTTTTCTGGATTTTGGAAGCTATCACTTCCATAGAGCAAGCCCATGACCAACTAACTCTGCACTCTCCACGCTGGCTGGGTTCTCAGCAAGAGCATCCGTCCTGCTTCTACAATTTCTTATTTCAGACTGGCAGAGGAGGTCCAGCATCCTCGTTCCAAACATTCCAAGAAAAGTTTGAGCTGTCCCCTAACCTGCCTTCTTTCGCTTCTGCCAGTAGTGACTGCTTTTCGCCCCTTCTTGCTGTTTGGGGATGCCAGTGGACCTCTCAGGGAGCGGAGACATGATAACATTCTAAGGTGGCATCGTCCAGAGAGGAAGGAGATTCCACACCAGGGTGGAGTTTCTGCAGAAAGTCCCTCGGGAGTGTTTGTGTCTGACTCAGGCGCCTGGCACATTTCAGGGAGAAACTCCAAAGTCCATGCAAAAATTTTCTGAAGAATGCACAAATTGAAAACATACTCGAAGGACAAAACACTTGAGTTTAAAAAAAAAAAGTAAAAAAAAAATCAAAACACAAAAAAGGACAAAGGCTTTTTTTTTAAGTTGTAGAATGCAAAACTCAAAGCAACTGTTACTACTGTACATTGGGCTGTGTTTCATGAATATGCGTCTACCTCACCATACTGCAATGTCATGTATATTCCCCACCTTTAATTATTGCCTCCCTCTGTTCTCTCCTCTCTGGTCACCAGGCTCCCCAGCCCCTATACTGAATCCTCGCCTCATAGGAGCCTAGTCCAGTGTGTCAGTCAGCGGTAGATGAAACATTTCTATGCTAATCTGCTAACCCTGGTCTATGAGAGAAAGGATGACGAAATCCGGCCCCTGCCCTTGACCTTGGGAAACACGATGGTGTAGAGTTGTTTGTGAAAGGTCTTGAAAGTCGGCTGTGCTGTAGAGCCGTTAAAGTTTGTTCCTGTATGTAACTGGCTAATGGAAAAGGTTAGATTGAATATTGATGTACTTATTTTTTTATAGATATTTATATTCAAACGATTTATTCCTTATATTTACCATGTTGAATATTTGTCTGGGCAGGCCATATTGGTCTATGTATTTTTTTAAAATGTATTTCTGAATGAAATTGAGAACATGCTTTGTTTTGCCTGTCAAGGTAATGATTCTAGAAAATAAATATTTTTCCCTACTGTACTTAGTTGTGAATTATTTCTGAAAACCCCAAGAAGTGATAATCCTGAAGGGAAATGGTTCAAGCCGGCTTTCTAGGAAGGTTGAAATTAGAAAGTAGGATGTTGGTTTGATTTAAAAAGGAAACGATATGTTTATTAAAAACTGTTTTTATGGATAGCTATCCTTGCACAGTCATATAATCTGAAGAATTAGAATGATATCTATCATATTATTATATAAAATAATTACAAAGAAGATATTCGATAGTTACAAATGTATGTATTTGTGCATAAAAACGCTTTTCAGATTGTGTTAAGGACCACAAAATAAAAGCTTCAAGTTCTGTTTTCCCGTGGAGTGCAGCCTCTGCCTCTCCTTTACCTGAAGATGTCCCCAGGGCCACTGCCCATTAACCTTGCTTCTCAGGCCATTAGGCAGCATCCAACAGTTTAAGCTGATGGTGTGCTGAGAGGTGCTTTCTCCATAGCACTGGGCTGGAGGAAGTGATGGAAAGACGATCCTGCAGCGTAGGCGCCTAGACACAGCTCCTAAGCCCAGGGGCTGCTGTGAGAGCAAGGCCTGCTTGCTCCAGGGAGGCCACCAGCGCCTTTGATTTGCTCAGAAGAAGTATTTTGTTTATCGAGGTACACTGAGAACTGCTGCTTCTTCCAAGCTCAGGACTGGAAGAGTGCCCCAGAAGTCGAGACACCAGGAGCTTATTTTAAGACACTACCCTACCTCCCACACACTTTCTCTTCTCTGATTTTGCCAACTGCTGACAGAGACAGCATTGTAAATGGTCATATCAACAAAGGCTCATAGGAGCTTGACAAGCTTCTAGAATCTTCATTGCCTTTCTCTAATAGAGACTGAGGGAATGCTCAGCCTTTAACAGACTTGGTGATTACTGCTGCCCTAACAGTGACACGGCAGGAAGATATCAAATCACAGTCTTCCGGCCTGCGTGACCAACATCTGAGTTAGTTGACTACAAATCCTTTCATTCCCTATTAAATTATTAGCATGAGAGACCATGAGTCTAATGCATGGAAGAGGTAGCTGGGATGGGAGAAGCCATGGAATAAAACGGTTCAGAGAAAGCAGTTGGAATGATGGAGTCGCCATTGTTAAGCAGTTAAACTCCATGTCCCTTTGCTTTTTTGATCACTACGCCAGTAACTGTAAGACAGACACGAAGCAGCCTCTCTCAGGAATGCGGATCATCAGCAGAAGAAGTTGGGAAGTTCGCAGGCAATCGTTGCTTTTCAGGCACTCAGAGGAAATTTGGGACTTAGCAGTACTCAGAACCCACGAACGCCTGAGGGCTGAGCTAATAGGATGGTCAGAGGCGCTTCCTCCCGGTTTTTCGGAAAAAGCGCGCTCTTTGGCAATGCATTTAGGACAGATTTCTCTCTTCACTTTTAAGGACCCAGAGGGACTTTAATCTTGAGACTCCGAAGAACAGAGCCTGTGCAGGAAGTGGTGACCTTTGGCAGAGACAGGGAGAGAGAATCCCTCTAATGAGTACTTCCTTTTCCCCAGGGATTAGCGTCTTTGGTGTTGAAAACCATTGATTTTAATTCCACCTGTGATCCTCCAGAGCGCATCAAGGCGCGGGAATTGCATTCAGCTGGAGTTCCCTCAGAAAGAAACTTGCTAACATCACATTGGAGCCTTTTCTTCCCTTTTGGAAGAAAAGAAAGCAGAGACCCAGAGAGGGGAGTGAACGAAAACTCACACAGCAAGCAAAGGCATTTCCAAAGCTCAGGGGCCTGAACACCACAAATGCAGCTTTTTCACCCAGGGGCCCCTGGAGGTCACCAGGAAGAAACACCCAAGGGAACCCTAGAAGGGGGCTCTGGAGGCAGGGGACAGGGAGGGAGGAGTCAAGCAGTCTCCAGGAAAGTGTCACCTCCAAGCTTCTCAGATAAGTTAGCCTACCCATTTGGAGCTGGGGCTCCCTGGTAGAGCATTTGCCTAGTTTCTACTGGCTGTGGACTGAATTCCTGGCCCTACAGAAGAAGGAAGGAAACATTTGCCAGGAGATGATGTGGGTGGGGTGGGGTGGGGAGAACATGGAAGAAAGATATAAGTTTTATTGCATCATTAAAGGAGTAGCTAGAGAAAATTTCAATTACCACTGTTAGATTTACTTATCAAATAAGACTCATATGAGTGAAAGGAAATTATTTAAGTGAGCTGACATTGGCGCTAGAATACAAGGCAGTGTTTATCTTCTTCCAGGGTCTAAAGCCTTGAAAATGGCTGTTTGAAAGCCCCAAATTCTCAGCATGTCCAACAACTTGTTCAGTGGAATTCATTCATTTCTGCATTGTGCATTTCCTGGGCTTCTAGTCTGAGATTCAGGAGGGGCGCATTGTAGTGCTCCTAGTCTGAGGTTCAGGAGGGGCACATTGCAGGGCCCTTGTCTGAGATTCAGGAGGGGCACATTGCAGGGAACTCCTAGTCTGAGGTTCAGGAGGGGTGCATTGCAGGGTCCCTAGTCTGAGATTCAGGAGAGGTACATTGCAGGGGACTCCCTATAGCCTGCTAGATGTCACAGTCACAAAACTTTGTAGAGAACTTGGCTTCCCACAGCAATCCCACTTCTGTTCACCTGTGAGCCCCCTTCCCATCATCATTCCTTTAGGAAGCTGGGACCGTTATGCTCACTCCAGTGACAGCCAAGGAGACAGACATATTGAACATGAGAGAAACAAAGACCTGAGACAAACAGCAATAGTGAATCTCAGGATCCCTGTCTTTTCTTTCTTTCTTTCCTTCTTTCTTTCTTTCTTTCTTTCTTTCTTTCTTTCTTTCTTTCTTTCTTTCTTCCTTCCTTCCTTCCTTCCTTCCTTCCTTCCTTCCTTTCTTTTTTTCTTTCTTTCTTTCTCCTGTAAACTTTTCTAGATCAGAAGAGGATTCCTTGTTCCCAAAGCAGGGAGAAAGTGAGGATGTGTCTGGTTTGTGAGTGAGCTGTAAGCGCAATTAGTTTTCATTGTTCTCTTTGCAAAATCGATGCTCCATCCGCACCTGGGACTTCCATTGTGACTCCTTCCAACACGTGGTGCTTCGCCTGCTACCTCATTCTCATCGTTTTAAAGCACAGTGGGCAGAACATTCGCTGTAATGGGCAATATCCACCTCCAACCCTGGTGTCACAGAGGGCTTTATCAACTGCTGTTGCCCAGGAAGCCAACCCATGGAAGAAACTTCAGTGACAAATACATTGGCTACGATCACCATGCCACCTCAAATGCTAACCAAACGATGAGGCAGAGAGATAGGACTGGTACCACTGGATAAAGCAGAGAGAAGGGATCAGACCATGGGGGTACTGAATGATGGAAAGAACGTATTCCAACCATGACAGGATGCTGACATCTCGGGATACAGCCCTTCAGGAACCTGGAAGTAGTTTTGCTAGCTCAGGATGTCCTGTTTCTATATTATTCTCCTCTTTTATATTCCTAGGGAGGCCAGGCCTCTCTACTCAAATTGATGTGAAAATGTTCAGGGATGTTATTTACAGTATTAAGCTACCACTGGCATTAGGTTAGGACAAATCATAGGTCAGTTCCCAACTGAACTCCGGATGGACCAGTTATGAAGTCTGTAAGTACCTGATTGTGAGGAGAGCATGTGGTCTGGGGGAAAAAGTTGGTCTCAATGTAACATTTCTAGAATGACTGTTGATCAACCAGGATGAAATAGTCTCAAAATTTGCAAGCTGTAGTAACTTAACTGTCATGTCCCTGTGTGTGCCTTTGTCTTTTCCAGCATGACTGAGTGGCATGCCACTGTCTCCGTGTTCACAGCCGTCAGAGGCCCATCAACTATGTAACTGTTCCTCTCTCTGTTCATGCTGTCCTTGCTCATACTCTGGGACCCTTTGGCAGAAGTATAAATGTTGTGAGGTCTCCTTTTGCTCCTTGGAAACTGTACTGGCCAGTGTTGTGGGTCAACTTGACACAAGGCGGAGTCATCATAGGAGGGAGCCTTGGTTGAGGAAATGCCTCGATGAGATCCATCTGAAAGTCATTTTCTCATTTAGTGATTAACTGGGGAGGATTCACCCCATGGTGGGGAATGCCATCTGTGGGCTGCTGGTTCTGAGTTCTTTAAGAAGGTGGGCTGAACTAGCTATGGGAAGCCAGCCAGTAAGCAGCTCCTCTCCTTGGCTTCTGCATCAGTTCCTGCTTCCAGGTTTTCTGCCCTGTTTGAGTTCCTGTCCTGACTTCCTTCAGCCATGAACAGCAATGCTAAAGTGTAAGCCCAGCCAACCCTCTCCTTCCCAACTTCTTTTTGGTCATGATGTTTCATTGCGGTATTAGAAATCCTAACTAAGACAGATACTTTTGGCAGGCTGAGTTTATGGTTGTGCAAACCAAAGGCAGAGTGTAGACAGAAGCTTACTCAGAGCCTGGTTCTGCTTTAGAAAGAACACCCAGGAAGGTTGGTACCACTTAAAAAGTTGAGTCTTTCCTTCTCACGTCAAATTTGGGTCATAAAAGAGTTGGGAGGTGATTTATCATTTAAGTGAGACACATGTGATGAATATTTTGGCAGTGCTCTTAATTCTCTGAAACCATGGGCTATGGTAAGCAATGAGGTATACGGTCACTGAAATTCAGGATAACTCTTAAAAGCAGGTCAGAGTTTCGGAGCCGCCTTGGTCTCCTGGAGATGTTCTGAACCTTGACCCAACTCTAGAACCTTTATCTGAAGATCAGGCTGAAGTGTGGACCTTCCCTGGTGTTCCAGCTTATAGCATACCACCCAACAGATGCCGACTCAGGGGATTTACAAATACACACACAGCTTTCAGCTTTGATAAAGAGCAGGAGGGAGATGACTTTCTTCCAACCAGATGTGGTTAGACTACAGTAGGGTTAGAAGATTCGTGTATGAAGCTCACTTTAGACAGTTTGTGTCGGGGCGCGGTGCGATCGGCAACAAAAGATCCGCCAGACTAGATTAATACAAAATATACAGCTTTAATAAACAGAAGGAAGACTTAC